AAAGATTTTTTTTTTAACTTTGTGGGATGATTTTTGTAACAGTTTCAAATTCTATTTGATTAAAAAAAAGTAGATTCTATTTGTTAAAAAAAAGTAGAGCTATTCTAATTATTGTTTTGCATTGTGTCAGTTTTGAGAATTTGTCTTTCCTGTCTTATTTATTCAACCTTTTTAATATTCGGATTGTTTCAGATTAGCTAATAAGAAACCCTTTAGCTGGCTTCTGGCCCTTTGATTTATCCCCATCATTCTCTTGAGTATTTCCAAATTCATCTTGTATTATCTGTGTTCATTCCTAGAACCAGCTATTTCTCCAGGGATCTTTTGTTCCTTTCAATGAAGGATGGTATTTAGAAGCCAAAACTTTAGTACTAATTTTCTTTTACATCTGTGTTTATATAGTTTTAAGACCATGAACTCACACTGATACCTCTAATTCCAACCAAACCACCACAGAGTTTGTTCTAGATTTCTTCCTTTCTGTATTTTAATTCCCTTTTCTAATGTAAGAAACCTGGTCTAAGATGTTTTTTCTTTCACACAACCAAAATGTTCCCTTGTCTTCTGTTTTTCATTGTTTTATGCTGTAAAGCCTGCAGTAATTTATAACTTAACTAGCTATTTTCTTTGTCCACTTTTAAGGTTTTGTCTTTGCCACTGCTTTTCAGCCTGCCTCCTGTTCTCTCTTTCTTTCGTGGTACTAAGGTTTGAACTCAGGGCCCTTTTTGCCCAGGCTGCCTTCAAACTTTGATCCTCTCAACCTCTATCTCCCGATTAGCTAGGCTCATAGGTGTGAGCCACCACACCCAGTCAGTTTATATTATTTCAATTGATTGGTCTAATAATTTATTGACCTTTTTCCTGCCAACTCAACCTACTTGCACTGTTTTTTTTCTTTTTCTTTCTTTCTTTTTTTTTTTGGAGATGGAGTCTCAATAAATAGCCCAGGTTGATCTGGAACTTTTGATCTTCCTACCTCAACCCCCTAAGTACTGTGATTATAGGCATGTGCCACCATATCTGGCTTCCAATCTGCTTTTAAAGCCCATCCAATGAAATTTATCTATTTATTTACTTACTTACTTATGGCGAAACTGGGCGCAACATGCTTGCTTGAGCCACTCTGCCAGCCCCATTTTAAATTTCAGACAATGTTCTTTTTTGCAGGGAGAGGAGGTAGGGGTATGCCTCCCTCATAGTATGCTAGGTAAATGCTCTCCCATTGAGCTACATCCCCAACTGAACTTTTCAATTCTGGAATTTCTGTTTAGTTCATTTTAGGTTTTAATTTTTCTGATGAAAGTTTCCCATCTGCTTACTCATTTTGATAATTATCTTTTATTTATTACATTAAATGTATTTATTGTAGCCTCTTTAGAGTGTTTAAGTGCTAATACCCATAAGCAGGTCATCTCTGGATCTTTTTTTTTCATTTTTCTTTTGACTATGGTCTTACTGCTTTTCAAGTCTAGTAATTTTGGACATTATGAATGAAACATTGCAGAAACAATTCTTTTACCTTCCTCTGATTAAATTGCTAGCAAATAGCTATGACCTTGTGGAGGCTTTGTATTATATTTGATAATGTCAGATATGTTTTGGTTTTGTTCCATAGTTCTAAGACATATGCTTTCATCTGAATTCCTGGTCTTTCTGAGTTTCAGTGGAAACTTGTTAATGGATGCTTATTATGTCTCTCTAACTTGGTCGAAATCAAATTCTGAACTCTTATCTCCCCTTATTGGCAGCAGTTGTAGTCTTGATCAGGTGCTTCAATCTTCCAGCTGGAATTCTTGGAGTCTCCCCTGAACTTACATAGTTTGGAGGTTAGACATGGATTTGAGGGTAATGTATACGTATTTTCTGAGGCCTCCTTCTTCCCCTGTGTTTTTCTTTCCTCTCTGAGATTTCTTTTCTCACTTGCCAGTCACTGTGGTAGTTCTGAATTCTATGCTTTGATATCACAAATCAGTAGACATTGGCTTTCTAATTTTATTCACCTTGCACCAAGTGGTCTGTCAAATGCTTTCAGAGGGAAAGCACAGAAATACATCTCATCCAGGTGCTGTTGGCTCACACCTGTAATCCTAGCTGATCAGGACGATTGCTGTTTGAAGCTAGCCCAGGCAAATAGTTTGTAAGACCCTGTCTCAAAAATACCCAACCACAAAAAAAGAGAGTGGGGTGGTGGGGGCGGGCCTTGCTGCTGGCATGTGACTTAAATGGTAGAGTGCCTGCCTAGCAAGCATGAGGCCTTTGAGTCAAACTCCACTACTGCAAAAATAAAAAACCCACATCTCAGCCAGTAGTTCTTTTTCAGGATCAGTCTCTTCTCCGCTCACTTTCTTCTTACTTTAAGACAATCTCCAATGCCTTTACATGGTTTTAAAATATTATTCCATAGTTATAGTTGTTATCTACTTATCTACAGGGCTTCAGGATAAAGTAGTGTAAGCATTACATTAATTAAGCATTTCTGTCATTGAATTTAGAACACTGACTTAAAGTTTTATTTTATTTTATTAATAAATGCTGATTAGTTCACAATGTATTTTTAAAAATAATTCATGTTATGTGTCCATATATAGTAAATGTTTGTGCTATTAGTTATTACAAAAGAAATACTGAGCCCTCAGCCCAGAATATATTTGTACCTATAGTCCCTATGTATACACTAATTTCATTTGGTCTAGTTTATTTTTAAAGTATATTGAAATTATGTCAACTTAAATGATAGAAGAATAAAAGTTAAGTGGGGAAACATTTTAAAGTTTAAGTTGTTTATAAGGAAAAGTACTTTTATAATATTGATGGGAAGCTCTATAATTCCATAATTTTTTTTTCCTTTTCTCTTTTTTGCTTTGTTTTTGAGATGGCTGTCTCTTTATTGCCCAAGCTGGCCTCAAACTCATGAGCTCAAACAGTCCTGCCACAAGTCTCCCAAGTAGCTGGAACCACAGACAAAAAAATTTATTTTTACATACCTATTTTCTTTCCAAAAAATGGCAGTTGGCCCAAAAGAGAATTCCTTAAGATATCTATTTGTCTATACTGATACAAATAAAAAAGAAAGTAAATAAATGTGGGGAGACATCAGAACTCTTCTTTACAGGAGTCTAATTAATAAATGTAAGAAGAAAGAAATTTAAAAGTTCACCATTAGAACACTAGAGTAAAAATTACCATAGGCAAGAACCACCAGTAGATAGTAGAATTAGCAGGCAGAGGTTGAAGTAGAAGTAAAACATCTGCATTATCTCAAAGTATTTCCCCTGACATACTTAGTAATTCCTAAGGGAAAAATAATAAGTTTATAGTGGAAAATTAGACAGAGGAGACTTTAGCCACAAATACTCAATGAAAACATCTCCTGATTTGATGCTTTGAGAAAAGTACATCACCTCTGTAATATCCTTGTTAATAAATAAATAAATTAGATCCTGAACAAAAAATGGACTTCAGTGGAAAAGCTGGAAAAACTTGATAAGGTATGTATTTAATATACTACCAAGTTAATTTCTTGGTTTGCTTTGCTTTTTGTTGTTGTTGCTGTTTGGTGCTGGAAATTGAACCTAGGATCTCAGGTATGCTAAGCAAGCACTCTACCACTGAGCTACATCTCCAGCCCCAACTTTTTAGTTTTGGTAAATGTTTGTAACTTCTGAAAAAATCTAAAATTATCTTAACATTTCATAAAATGGGTTCTTTCTTATTGTTGGTTGTAAGAGATGGTCATTTCACATTTTTCATCCTAATTCCAACACAGATATTTATACTGTGTTCCCAAAGACTGTTTCCTGGGCCAGCAGCAGTAGCATCACCACCTGGAGACCTGTGTTTTAGCGGGCATACCAGAGTTTGAGGACCATAATTTATACTATTGGAAAAACTTATGATTAAAGGGAACATTTTACTTTTCTACTGTATTGGTCAGTTTTTAATAATGAGTTTGCTTGGTATAAAGTATGAACACAGTATAACCAATATTTCCTTTCCTTTTTTTTTTTTTTGGCAGCACTGGGATTTGAACTCAGGCACTTGTACTGCTTGAGCCACTCTGCTACCCCTTTGTTGGATATCTTTGAGATAGGGTCTCACAAACTATTTGCCTAGGGCTGGCTTCACACTTCATTCCTCCTGATCTCTGCCTCCTGTGTAGCTTTGCCCAGCTAATCCATATCTTATAGTTCTATTTTGGTTTTTCTCAGAGTGGCCTTGGACCTCAGTCTTCCTGTTATGTGTTTTGTGAGGCTGGGATTATAGGTCTGTACCACCGTGCCCAGCTTGTATGTTGAGAGGGGGTTCCACTAACATTTTGCCCAGGCTGGCCTCGAACTTGATCCTTTGGATTTCTGCCTCCCATATAGCTTGGATTTTTGGTTTATTGGCATGTTTCACCACACTGGCCTATTTTGATAATTTCTAATCCATTTTTCTAAGTAAGAGATATGTGCTCTCCTCCCTTCTGGCCCATTTCATCTCTTGTCCATGTTGTCTTCCCCCCATCCTTCCTTATTCATGGTCACCCAATCCTTTCAGGACTTGATGGTTTTTAAGGAAAAACAACAAAAATAAAACTCATCTCAGAATAGTAATTGCTGCTTTAAACAGAGCTAAGTGCTTAAAATTTGTTTGTAAAAGATGGTTTATAACCAGTACTCCACTTTCTACACATACAACGAAGTCACTGCTCACATTCCATAATGGCCAAACCATTGTGGGCTTGGTTTCGGTTTTGGTTTTGGTGGTACTAGAGTTTGAACGCAGGGTCTCACACTTGCTAAGCAGGTACTATACCATTTGAGCCACTATACCATCCTACCATTGTGTTTTATAAGCTCTCTCTTTGCTTCTACCTTAGCTGCTATAATTCTGAAATTTACAAATAGAATTTATTGTGTATTGATTTTGGGGAACAGAGCAAAATTTGACAGCTGTATATGTCAGTATTTCAGGATCTAAAAAAACCGTAAATTTTTCTTAAAAAATTTTTTTTACAGACTTACAGCAGCTGTGCCAGACTCTGCATAAACCAGGAAACAGTATGTCTGGCAAACACTGCTATGAAGACTGAAAATTGTGTTGCCAAAGTAAGTAATATTTCAATAATATACATTATATCACATAGCAGTGCTACATAAATAGGCATCCTCATTCAGTATTGCTACTAAAGACTCTTGTAGGATTATATATTTAAGAAAAGAATACACACAGTTATCACTTTATACAGAGTAGATTACAAGTCAGACTTTATCTCTTCAGTTGCAACAGAATCTTTTAATTTTGTACTCCAGTCACACTTTATATTGATTCATATTTGTTGCTTGACACTAGCTATAGATTATCACAAAGCAGTAACATTTTTCTAAGGTAATGTACAAATATTTGTATAAGTTCCTTCATGTACAAAAAAAGTATAGAGAACATCATTGTAAGGAATGTGAAATATTCAACAGAAAATCCAATTGTTATGTCACTATTACTACTTATTGAGTGGCTAATGTTATTGTTTTTAGTTATTTTAATCTAAGTGGACAAGTGTGTTGGTCATGCATATGGGTGACCTCTTTCATATATAAATATGTGCTATATCTATAGCCTAGATCCCAAAATAATCTTAAGTATTAGAGATCTGGAGCTTTTCCTTTCCACCACAACTTTGGCTTAAATTCAAGTGTCAGCGATTTTTGTTATCCCAAGAGTAAGTAGTATTCAGTACAGAGTGTGTTTCTAGTTGCTTTACCAATCTGCAAAAATAATGCCTTTATTACCATTTAGGGATTTTTCACTGTTACAACTTTCTCAAATTTATTTTATTTTAATCAATTGTTTCATACAAGCAGGCCCTTATTTACTTTTTGTTATTATTAGAACCAGGCATCATGTTTCTAAAGACAGCTATCTTAGTCCTTTTACGGTGCTATAACAAAAATACCATAAAGTGGATAGCTTATAAAAATAGTTATTTATTTCTTATAGTTCTAGAAGCTGGGAATTCCAAGATCAAGGTGCAAGTATATTTGTTGTCTAGTTGAGGGTTCATTCTGCTTCATAGATGGAACCTTCTTTCTATATCCTCACATGACAGGAAGGGCTGGCCAAGCTCTCTGGATCTTATGTTTTAAGAGTACCAATTCTATTTCTGAAGGCTCTGTTCTCATGATTTCTTGAGGGGGAGGGGGGTCAACAAAAAAACTCAGACCATAGTAACAGCAGCAATTAAATTTTTTTCTTAAAACATGAACTAATCTCTGGGCGGCCTTAATTAACTGAAAATATATCATATGAAATATAACTATTGGAATGATCCATATAAGCAATGGCAGAATTTATTTACAGTTATAGTTACAAAAGGTAGAGTTCATCAGTCATATCATCAATTCAGTTGTCAATAATTTGCTACAAAATGTTGAGTGTTACTATAAATTAAGTTTTTTTTTAGTTATTTAATCACAATTAGCAAGTGCTAATTGACCCTGTTTTATATTCAGTATTTGTGTGTGGAGCTGGGTGCAATGAGCCTTTTTGGCCATACTGCTCTCACTTTCACCACAAACGGGTGATGACCACCAATCCAAGGACAAGGTAACAATTTTAATGAGTTTCATTGAGAGCTGGCCAAATGAACATCTGTTCCTTTTGTTTTTCCTGTACTTTATAAACCAGGATCTCTAAGCAACAGAGTTATGTTGGTATGTATGTATATGATATGGGGTGGGTTTGGTTTTTTTCTTCTCCCACCCTCTACTTCAGTGGTGCATTGTTAGAAATGTGGCATTTAGTATAAGACGTAATTTCGTCCATGTTCTTGGGTAAGGAAATAAGTTTACTCGTTATTCATCAGTCTGTTTCACTTGCTTCCAGATGGTAACCCTCTTATCCCATTCTTGATTATTTTAACGTTATTCTGACACTTCTATCCTTCCATTGTCCCCTGAAAAAGTCTAATTTAATAATGATTTGCATAATTTCCAACTGGAACATAACTAACTTCCAGGTTCCTTGTACTGGCCCCTATTCTGTCTTCTGCTCATTGCTTCAGAGTTGAGCAGGTAATCAGTTGATCAATAACAAAAAATACGTAGCTGAAAAGTTTAGATTATTTCAGCAGCCTCCACTGAGCATGCTAATAGTGAAATTCCTTTTTCTTAAATATGTTGTATCTATCTCATGATTCTATACTGTCTCTGTTGGCCTCATTTATTGCCTGACTTTTGAAAGAAATGACTTGCCATTATTTTTGTAGGTCTGCAAGGTTTTCCTTATTTCCTGTTCTTGATTTTAGCCTATAACAATAGTTTAATCTGCTATAGAGATGTGGGGCTGCAGTGGTTTTTCTTCAAAACTTGATACAAGTGTCTTTGTTGATTCAGATTGTGCTCCAATGTGGCCTTGAATGACCAATTATCTCTATGTAATAACAATTGTAACACAGTGATATGAGCCATTTTTGTCCTATAGTTCAAAGCAATTGAATTCTGATCAAGAGTGATTTTTTTCTCCTTTTATTTAATCACTTTTACATTTACTTACATGTATATACATTGTTTGTGCCACCCTCTCCTCCCACCCTCCTACCCCAACCCTCAAGATTAGAATAATTTTGATTTGGGTAGAGATACTAATTACAGCCCAAAGCCTTTTCAGTGAACATTTTTTATGTGAGTTTTAGAGAAGACATTAATACCAGTCACTTCCTTGAAAGCAGAAATGTTATGTTCAGACCCCTTTAGTATAGTATGTGTAACTCTCCATTGCCAGGTATCTTATTCTTACAATAGCTCTATAAAAAGAAGGGTATACATTACTTCTCTTTAGAATATAAAAAAACAAAGCTATGAGACAAACTATACCTACTCTAGATTGACAATAATCTTCTTAATCTTTAACTTAAAGAAAAAGATTTAAAAATTAAAATAGGGAGGGGTCATTTTATCAATATAACTTAATCCAGGTAGTAATCAGAGGCATTAAGGTGTTATTTGTTTATATTTTTTGAGAACCTTTCTCCTGGTGATAGCCCTGTAGTTTATGAGATTTGTGTTTGGAACATGATGAGGTCTATATATATTATTATAGCTTTAAATGGACAGTCATTATTGACTATCAACTTAGTCTTAAAAATCCATAATCACATTGTACTTAATTGTCATTGTTTGTTTAATTAGGAAACAAAACTAACTGGGAGATTAAAGAAAATTAAATTTTTTATGTTATCTTTTTACAAACACATATAGTTAAAATTGAATTGTTTGAATATATCCACCTTGATTTAAGGCCCAGATAGGAGTAGTTCTGTGGTTTTATGCTTGGAAATATCCCATATTTATATCCTATATAGATGTTCTGTATTTTTCTTGTTGTTGTTACTGTTTTTTAGTTGAGACTAATAATCTGTTTGAAACTGACTGAGACAGAAAAATGTGATGTTCCTTTCCATTCACTCCAGATTTTGATAGAAGACTTGTTTTATTTATTTCCAAAATTATATCCGCAGGAAACAAGCTGTTTAAATTCAGATTATGCTGAAGCAAAATGGTCCTGGTATGAGAAGCAACGTGCTGTTTTACGAGCACAGAGTCCCTTTTCTCATAACTGATTGATAGTAAATATTTTCCTGAAGAATTATTGCCAACCATGAACAGTGCAACTGTTTCACTTTTTTTCCGTGCTACTTGCTGTACCAGCCATTGTCGGTAATTAAGATCTACAATTCACAATGCAGACGTTTGCACTTCCTCTGGGTCTGCGCTATTTATAAGGCATTTCAGCTGTTCAGAGTTTCTTTTGAGTTTTAAACTACATGTTAACAGGCTTCTTTAATACGCTGTTCCACAAGTAGCATGTCAGATGGTCTGTTCTTCACACAGGCGCCTCTGTCAGGTCTGTACATTAACTTTGTGGGGGATCATAGAAGATTTAACCATATCATTGAGGCCAATGTGGTTGGGAACACTGGAGTGCAGTGTGTTTACACGTTAGGCTCATGGCTTTTTCAGGAAGCCAGAAATGAAGTTCAGAAGTAAAATCTTTTCTTTCATCTTTAAATGTTCCTGTGAATTTAATGTGTTAATTGGTTATAAAGGTCTTGAAAAATATACAATAAAGTGACTTTGCCAATGCATTTTGAATTAATAAGAGATGCAGGTAACCCTCTTGTTGACTAGATTTGTCTGTCAGATTAAGGATGTAAAAATGCATTCCCTTATAAGTTTGCATGATATTTAAGAATACAGACATGGGCACCAAAATAGATCAGCAGATTGCACATTTGTTGTGTAATCAGCTTCAGGAACCCTAAGTAGCATGTACCATTGATAAGGAGATGTAAACAGGGATCTTTTCTCTGTTAAAATTGGTAAAATTCAAGCCATTTCATCCCAGGAGAGAGTTAACGAAAGAAGAAGGAGAAGAAGGAGGAAAAAAAATAGTCCACACCCCAGCCCAGAATCTTCATGAATGATGCCCTAGAATTAGAGTAACTGCGTGCACAGTCTCCTTGCTACTGGCACTCATTGTTAAACATACAAGAAAAAGAAACAAGAAACTGAAAGCTGTCAACAAAATGTGTTTAAAACTTTGCCTCAAGTAGGGATCAGAGTGGCTGTTTTTAAGCCTGAAGTCCAGCTGCATTGATTGTGTACATTGGCCGCCAGCATCTTTCAGCAGAGCAGATCTGTTCAGGAAGACAGGGTGCAGGTTTCAGTGCTGATTCTTGATGGCTCTTGAATATAGACAGAGCTTATAACAAAGCCATTTCAAAACAAAACCTAAAACTTTCTGCAGTTTTTTTTTGAACTACAGGGCTTCTGTAAACTTCTCTTTCTCAGTGAACTCTTTATGAACCTTTTTTAAAATAGCATGGTTCAGCTGTTGGGAACCACTGATCTATCTGACTGAGGCACTTCAAGATGCTAGAACCTATTCACATTTCTGTCTAGCCAGGGAGCTAATAAGATCGAGTTTGTCTTTGTGGATTGATCTAGATTATCATGAGATGAGCCCAGTCAGTGTCTTCCTCTGTGAAAAAAAAGGAAAGGTTAGGGGCAAAAGGGGTGAAAGAAAAAAGTTCTTCATCAAGAATTGACTG